TTATCTTACTCTTCGCATGTATATTGATATCTAACGCGGAATCAAACGACGAACAACAACAACAACAACAACAACAACAACAACAACAACAACAACAACAACAATCTGCAAGATCTCGTGTCTCTGAAGATCAATTGAACATGGCATTGAGCGACCAACGTTACTTGAGAAGACAACTTAAGTGTGCTTTGGGCGAGGCACCCTGCGATCCCGTTGGAAGACGCCTGAAAAGTATGTGTACATATGTTCGGTTTAACAACCATAGTCGCAAAAAAAAAAAAAAAGAAAAAAAAGAAAAAAAAAGAAACGAAACGTCCAACTGTATATCGAAAATGTTTCCGAACGAAAATGGCTAAACGTTTGCCTTTCCTATTGTTAAACGTAAACTCGTCTATACAAATACAACAGTTTACGTATCGGATGATACAAATCGTTTTGAGAGAGAGAGAGAGAGAGAGAGAGAGAGAGAGAGAGAGAGAGAGAGAGAGAGAGAGAAAGAGAAAGAGAAAGATCGATCGATCCTGAAAATTGTGTTTACTGCACGATCAATCGTTTTCCATTATCGAAATTAATTTGATCCCTCGTCGATCGAATGATCCTTCTGTATTTCTAATATTACACACACACACACACACATATATATATATATGTGTGTGTGTGAGTGTGTGTGTGTGTTTATGTGTGGAAAGGATTAAAACTGGAAATTAGTATTCTCAATTATATAAAATTTATAAACGTAAATATAGTTCAATGATTTTTTTTTTTTTTTTTTTTTTTTTTTTTTTTTTTCCTGGAATATACAAATTTCATTCTTAAAGCGAAACTTTTCAAATCGCTCTAATAAATTTTCACAATGTTATTGTTCGAGTATCAAACATATTTTTTCTAACTGGATAAAACAATTTTTGGTTTTTTTTTTTTTTTTGTTTTGGTCGATTAATTAATTGTTAATGAAATTTAAAAGAAATGAAGAAAAGAAATAAAAAATAAAAAAGAATAATAATAATTTAAACGTATTATCGAATATCCATCAAATTGACGAATATGATGCACACATGCATGCTCACACACACATACACACACACACACACAGATATTAAGTATATTATATATACGTTCAAACTGATTGCACCCAATGTTAAAAAGAGATAAGATAAGATAGATAGATAGATAGTTAGATAGATAGATAGATATAGTTTAATACCTCTCCATAATTTCAATTCCACTAAAGAATAAAACAAATTGTTCGGTAAGTAGTCGGAAACGAACGATGGTGGAAGATGTAGAACGAGAGATAAAAACGTATTGAAAATTCACGATGCATTAAGCATGGTTAGCCATTCAAGTCACACCGATCGAACGTACTAATTGTACCGGATTAATTATTAAACCGAAATCGTTCGTACGATCGTCCATTATACTGACAAGTAAATTCCCAATTTCGATTATCGAGAGAAACGTTAATCCTTCGTTATACGGCTGCTTTATGTAACGAATAAGTGGGAAAAGAGAAAAAGATACAGATAGATACAAGAAGATGTACGCCAAAATATTGCCAATCTCGCTCGAAAATTCTTAAATTGCATTAACAATTGATTAAACTTTTTTCGTGGCGTCGTAGGCCTCGCGATTTCATAATCTTAAAAAAAAAAAGAAAAAAAAAAAAAAAAAGAAAAAAAAAAATTGACCCAATTGATCTGAAAAAAGAGTAATTGATTTTTTAATATCATCTATGAACTTTTGACCCACTTAGAAACTTTTTTTTTCTATACAACAACCTTATATATACATATATTTTTTTTTCTTTTTTGAAATGAATAAAAAAAATATATATATATATATTTATAAATGAATAAAAAAATAAAATAAATAAATAAATAAATATAATATATAATATATAATATATAATATATAATATATAATATATAATATATAATATATAATAATAGATATATACATATGTATGTATATATCTATTATATTATATATAATATTTATCTATATATTTATCTGTATATCTATTATATATATATATATATATATATATATATATATTTATAAATGAATAAAAAAATAAAATGAATGAATAAATAAATATAATATATAATATAATAGATATATATACACATGTATGTATGTATGTATATATGAATGTATATAGAATTGTATATAATACGGTTAATATTGTCCTTTATATCCACAGGTTTGGCACCACTGGTTTTGAGAGGTTCTTGTCCACAATGTACCCCAGAGGAGACACGTCAAATCAAAAAGGTCCTTTCTCACATTCAAAGATCCTTCCCGAAGGAATGGTCGAAGGTTGTACAACAATATGCTGGCGTCTCGTAGTCCTTTATCGCGAATAAGAATTTATACGAGTGTAACAAGAATGAACATGGGCCATGATTGAAATAGCGACACAATGATGATAATGAAGAGAAGGGTGAGAGAATGCGAAAAAAAAGAAAAAAAAAAAAAAAAAAAAAAAAAAAGAAGAAAA